TTTGCTATAGGATCAAATACAGTGAGCTAAAGGATTGGATGCTGATTTCTTTTCATTTGTAATATTAATTTCCTATAATTTTCGACAGTGAAACCGATCCCAACCACATTGGGTCCATTTCTTCGCGGTGATCTCAGTAGAAAAGTTGTTTGGTGTGTAATGTCTGTTATTGGAGATAACAGTATGGAGATTCAGGGGTGGCGCAGTCGGGCGGCACTCGCCTTCCCATTTTACTGATGGCAATACAATTCTATTCGCCACAACAACAAATCTCGTTCGCTTTCAACTGCAGAATACTTTAAAGAGAAATTCTCACAAACGAAACGTCTCATTTCTTCTTGGGTTAGCCCAAAGCTGCGACAAATGCGTTGCATCTGCCGCTCTTTCTTGTAAATGGTTGATCCATCACTGGCTAGACAGGTTTGCCCGAAAAACACAAGCAGGAAAATGATGACACCAACTCAAAAGAAACGAGCATCCCTTAGTTAATAGAAGAGATAAACATAATCCACTGTTAAGTATTGACACAATTTATTTGGGGCAAATTGTGCGAGCCAAAGCAAGATAGCGATTCCTTTTGTAGTGTGCGTGTACAGTCTCAACTGTTTGCAGGAGTGCATCGCAATGTAAAAAAAGGTTGGTCGAAACAGTGTTGGGCATTTGTTGTTATTAGTCCAACCTTGGTCGAAGCTACCACATTGTTGGTCAATTTTCCGTCACTGTTGGTCAAACATTGACCAAATATTGGGAAGAATTTGCCCAAAGGTTGCTAAGGTGATATTTTTACCAACACAGAGCAGGACTGAGGGGTGCAATGCACTGTTCACGTGATTATTACTTTTCACTCACACCCACACACACCCATAACAGTTTTCTCTTGAAAAGAAGATCAATTGGCGTAAACATCTAAGGGAATGTAGAAATACAGGCCAGAATCAACTCCCTTGGTTTTGGGGCTTCCATTCGAGGGCAGAGTTGATAAATTACAGATGAAAAACGTCCCTCAGTGCCCGAAAAGTAGAGGGAAGTCATTTGACAAAATGGCTGCGCGCAGGCTTTGTGAACTATCATATGTTGGGAGTACTGAGTGAGTCTTGTGTGAATGATTCGATAATCGGTTAGCCCAACAAAAAATGTAAAGAAACAGGAAGACTAAGGACAAGACAGTAATTCAGTTTTGAGAATTCCATTCATGTCGGCTCGCATGCCCTGAACTTCGTTCAGCCTGAATGGGACTTGAATTTGTACACTACGTGAGGTGCTCGGCAAGAAGATCAATCTGGGATATAAAGCTCTAGCGCCCTCTCGTGGAGTGGCTTCCTCGCCCTTTTAGTGTTTATTTTTCCGGCCGGTCAGGTTTTGCTGGCAATAGAAAAGATTTCCACAACGGTTTTGGATCTGATTTTGGAAGGTACTATTGGGCTTGTTAAATTCGTGTAGTAACAGTGCAAGAGATTCTCATAAATGAAACCAGAAAGTGACATTTAAGCTCGTACCGTGCATTGCCCGAGGCCTATTTTATGTCCTCTGTGCGTTTTCTACATGTACATGGCATGCATGCATGTTTTCCTTCCTCCATGGACGTACATGTACATAGTATACGATTACGATTATAAAAACCGGTCTCGGTCTTCTCCGTCACGGTCCTTGCTCTTGCACACTCAATGTCTCTATGAAATGAAGAGGTAATCCGTCGTATTTTTGCATTGGATGCAGAAAATGTAAATTGTAACATCTATGTGTTGATGATTTCAGTCGAGATATGAAATTTCTACTTTTGACCCTGACTTGCGTTTTGCACGGAATATTGAATTGTCCATCTCTTTTGAAGTTATTTCCAAAACCCTCTCTGATTGGCTGTTAATTGTGTGTGAATTTGATTTGGGAATTACATGTAATGGAAAAACCTTTCGAGACTGTGTTCATGCACCGAGGAGGAATAAGTCCTCCGTGGTTCATGTTGTGTTGTTTTCTGGTTTATAGATGAACGGCACTGTCAAAGATCGTCCATTAGACTCAGCATACATCGATCCCTACTACCTCAAGAATGACTCCAGTGGGTTTAAAAGGTTCCACTTCTCTGAGGTGCCTCATTATCTGCAAGGAAATCCATTTATTCATCGTGGATACTTCTCCCAGTTGTCCTATAAAAAATGTATCCAAAGGTATGTCTGTTTGTCCAATAAACTATCTGTACAATTGTGATTGAGTAAAGGTAGGGGATATTGGACTACTTTGCAGTCCTGAGATGCTTTTGCTGTTGTACGGACATGACAGGTGAACATGCGTGGTGAGTGTTTTTGGATAGTCAGAAATTTCACTGCGGAAAATCTGTATCTAGTTCTGTTCCCTCACTGAATTTTTATTAAATGAGACGGAATTCAAACCTAGTGCGATTTTTGGACACTTCTCTCATTAAAAAACTCCCTCCGAGCCTCAAATAACACAAAGAAAATGACATCTCCTACAGTGAACTGTATGAACCGATCTAAAAGCACTAGTATCCATCAAGACAAGACAAAATAATGAAACTGATTATCTTGTGACTTTTTTTGGGGGGGGGAGTAATTCTAATCTCCCAAACTCCTGGAATATGTTTTAAACCTGCATCTAGGTGTACATGTCTTGGGCTGTGCACCTTAACCACTTGGCCATGTGCTCACCCAGCAACGAAGGGTGAATTTAACAATTGAAATGTGTAGGTTTCATATTAAAAACACAAAGTGCAACTGGGCACCAGAAAAATAAACTCTTCATCAAGCAAATGGTTAATGAATTTGTTTCGTGTGGACTCCAACCCACAATTTTTGACTAACATCAGTGCCCAAGAAGGCTTGAAAGAGTTGTGACTCTAAAACTACACACTGCTGCCCTCAGAAACTCAAGAGATATATTTTAAGTGGATACAATTGTCGTTAGTTTTCAGCTTCACGTGTTTGTCTTTTGTTCTGTTATTTTCTACCTAGCACCTTTCTGTGGTCCAACGAGACTGTGAATGTGTGGAGTCACCTTATCGGATTCCTGATCTTCTTGGCTCTGATGATATACGATAACCTCGTTACCATCCCAAAGTTGAATGGAGTGTTGAATGACCACCTGATATACACTCTCTACCTGTCGTGTTTCCAGGTAAGTCTAGAAGACTGACATAAAAACAAGGATTAGACATTTTGGGCAACGCTTTTGCAAACTGCTTACTCACCGAAATGGCCTGTTTAAAGTTAGGAGGTGTGGCAGTTTGATCCGAGCAGAATCCAGGATCGAAGGTCAAACCCACTAAGCTAATTTGGGAGAAGGTGAAGTCCGGGTTTGGCCCCTTCTGCAGTGGCAATACAATAGTGTGTTCAGAGATTCTTTTATTCTAAGCATGAATAAATAAAGTTGTTCTAAATCTTGAAAATAACAGTATTAAATACAGTGGCAGATTCTGATCTTCACAAACTTGTAGTTTGACTCGAGCCACTTCGGTGTTTGAACAGCGCATGCCCAGTCCAAGGCTATTTGGGAACAGCGACACGCATGCATGTGATAGTCTGGCCTATCGATGTAGCCACACACTGACCCGTTCACGTGCTTTGTTCCCGAAAGATCTTGGGTTTTTGAACGTGCTCATTCTGATCAGTGTGAATTCTGTCCATTGCAAACCCATCACAAAGTTTACTGTTTATTATGGATCAGTTTGTGGACTTCAGTTGCATACACCATGCATTGGCTAATTTAATATCAATTAGCAGGCATTTACATGTATTGAATTTTGTTCTTGTGGCATAAGGCCACAAACCTGCTGTTCCTTAGAGTTGCACTTGTTGGGATAGACATGAAATTCTCCAGGAATAGGTTGGACTCATAACGGGGACAGAAATATCTGGCTGCTTGAGTGTAGAAAAAAGTATTTTCAGTCGAAGACAGGTGCCAAAATCATGCCTAGTGAGTTGCACTAATGCTGTGAAATTTGCCATTGTCAAAACACACTGTGTTGCTGAAGTAGACTCCTTTGGCTGCGACTGCCATGCTGTCTTCCCCGGCGTTTTTTGGTCTCTCTAGGTTTGTATGCTGTGCTCAGCCGGATTCCACCTGTTCCGTGTTCACTCCGAGGAGGTGTCCAAGCGTTGGCTCAGTCTGGACTTGGCTGGCATCTCTGTTGGCATGCTGGGATGTTACCTCCCTTCTGTCTACTATGGGTTCTTGTGCTTTCCGGTAAGAGCGAGAGTTTTGGATACACCTGTCGTAAGTGGTCACTGTTGATAATGGATGGGTGTCGGGGGTGACGTCGGTGTGCTGGGGCGGGGCATGTACCTTGCTCAAAGAGTGACGTTACTTTCCCTTATGAATGGGAATAAATATGTGCTTGGTCAGTGTTAAACTAACATTTCAGACTGGTTTAGGCGACTGAACGCTGATTATGCCCTCACCTGCAGCTCGGGCATTAGTCCCATCCATTCTCCAGAGCTGGTCTTCAATGTATGTGTAAGACAGGCCAAGCAAATATTTATTCCCTTATTATGATCAGCGTAAGTTGATGTCACTCTTAACATATTACAGCTCAAGTGATCTTTATAAATGGAAGCAGCTGATAATGTTTGAGCGCTTTGGCATCTTGTTTCACCCTTGGGTGAGCCTTTAGTGTGGACTTGTAACCTGTCCAAACCTACCGTATCTGACCCACAGGCCTATGCACTAATGATACCACACTTTGTTAACATGTGCACTTGCCTATGGAACCATTGGGGGCCCATGAGCCGCAGAACTCCATAGGAAAGCGCGCACTGTTTAGTTAAGCGGCTTGAACCCTTTATACAATGTGTTTTTCCTGTCCTAGTTCTGGAAGAACATCCACATGGTGATCGTGATGCTCCTTCTGATCATGACGCTGATCGTACAGCTGCACCGTCGATTCCTGACGTCCGCGTGGGCCACCAGACGGCTCCTACTGTTCGTCGTGTCTGTCGCCTACGGCGTCGGGCCGAGTGTACACTGGATATTTCTCTACGGAGGCTTCAAGGAAGAAATAGTTCTGGTGGGTTACAGGCGGCATCTACATTAAGGTGGCTGCATAGTTAGTACAAAGGAGAGAAGGGAAATGAATCTGATGTCGGAAAGCAATCACCGCAAATAAGGCAGAGAAATGGAATGTGTTCAGCCTTTCCAAATTTTGCATAACGGATAATGAATTTATTAAGATATTAACAAAAATTGCAAAATTACCAATAACCCAACTTATCCGTTATCCGGTGTTGAACCACAATAACCAACAGTATCTTAAGCTATTCTAAACACGGAGATGTGGGGAATCAAATTCTGCATGATTGTAAACTTCTAGCATTTCGACCAACTTTTTCCTGTTTCTGTATTTGGATTCAAGCCAGATTTTCAGCTGCTGCAATTAAATCCGTCTGTCCACAGTTTCGTAACTGTGCTTCATTTCTTTTGTCTTTCAGGTTTTTATTCCTAAACTGGTCCTGATGTACTCCTTAGCAATCCTAGCCCTGTTTTTTTATGCCAGCCAATTTCCAGAACGTTGCTTCCCAGGTACGATACATACATCTCTGTACCTTTTCAGTTTTCATCAACCCTCCTTCTGTTTTAACCGTCAAAAACAGTCAAAAATGCCTTCCACTTGATTTCCCCCAGTACACGGACACATATGGGAAATTTGACTGATATGTATCAGGAGGGTTAAGTGGTTGCATGTACTTTTTGCTACTTTCACAGTCTTCCTAATCACGACCTGCCTTTGCAGCAGAAATGTTGTATCTCGCGGCACTACAGTATATTAGCATGAACGCTGGCCAGCGTTTACCCGTTTGGGACAAATTTTCCATGAATCAGGGAATTGACAGGACTGTTACAGTATGCAACCAAGCACTTGCCGTAACGAAGTCATTTCTTTAATGCTTGAATAGGGTGAACACTTGTTAAGAGCTTATAGAGACTAGTATCTTTCAGACTTCCTTTTCATCCGAGACCGGTTCTTTCAAGGACCAGGTTCTTTCAAGGATACCTGTTAAAAAAATTCGAGCCTGGTTCCTTTTTGTGGTCCGGCATTTATATGCTCTGCCCTTGAATTCCCCCAAATTTGTGGTTTTTTTTAATGTGCTGCAGGTAAAGTAGACTACATCGGCTCCAGTCATCAATGGTGGCATATCATCATTGTCACTGTGTTTCTCTGGTGGCATCAAGTTGGAATAGATCTAGCCGAATACAGGACCAACTATCCATGCCCCAGCGATAACAGGGATCCGTCTTCTTCATAGCCTAAACCCTGTGATATCCCCAGTTGATAGTAACTCCTCCCCCAATTTCCCTGCCACTGCATCCCTACCGTTTCCCAAGTTGGAACAAAATCAGTGAAACACTAAGAAGTCGTTATGTCGTTCATTTTGTTTTGAAAATGGCCTTGATTGTACATTCGCACAGTTCCTTCTCTCATTCCTATTTGACTTACGGATATAACCCTTGGGTGCCGCAGAGCAAACTGTGTTTCACGGTACCCAAGTCTAAGGGTAGCCCGAGTGTCGCCCTTTCTGCTCTGCCATGTGCTCCATGCAAGAGAGCATCTGTTACATAGATTCAGTCCAAGCTACGTATCCCAAAGCTACTTCCCGACCCCTATGACAACGTACGCATACATCGCCACCCCAACTTCAGTTGTAATTGCAATTTTAATTAGTCAGATATGCATTTTATGGTAATTTACCACGCACTAAGTAACTGTTCATTTTGAAACATCTTGCCAAAGAGTTTTGTTGCCTCATTTGTTTCTCGGAGTAAATTAGGATTTACAACATTTTTGTGAGATTACTTCCTGCGGCACATGACATTAAAAAACTACTGCGTTGTACACCCCATTTGAGTGCCCATATAAATGACTGACAATGACTTTAAAGGCCTACCCTCATCATAAGGCCAAATGCACAGTGCTAATATCTACTGGAAGCAATATTTTCTTGCCAAAGATTTTGCACCTTTATTTAAGTTTAAGATTGAACTGTCAGGTTTGTTAACAAGTGCTGGATTTTTTTTAAACCTGTATAAAGATGTTGCTTACATTTGTCCCTGAGTAGCAATTTGGTCAAAAAATTAACCATCAGGACAAGTATCGATGTCTCTATTTTAAACAGAATGCTGTATACTGACTTCTCATCAAGTTCTTATCAAGATCGGTCCAAAATGCTTTTCTGCAGCTGGCCGTGAAACCTCCACAGGGAGTTGATTTTACTTCTTTCATGGATGCATGCGATGGCAGTTGTTGAGTGTTTTGAAAACAGCCTAAGAGAGCCGCTAAAGAAAATTGGCAAATGCAAAGGTTAGCACCGTGTTGAGGTACATGTATATCGGGACAGTTTCAAACCAGGAGTTTAAATGCGAGTTGTTTGCCAAGTCATTCTTCAGAGTGATTTAATAACTGTTCGAAATTTGAAGAAAAATCTATGAGAATCCTCTAGCTAAACCCAAATTATGATTTTGATACCATGGAATACCGGTATATTATTTTATTGACTTCAATATTTAGAAGCAAATGAATATCAGTCCTGTGGAATTTGTAAGCTCACTGTTCTGTTTGATTTTTATTTTATTTTTAATGCATATCGATGCATGTAAATATTATCGTCGGTTTAAAATGTTTAAAATTGCTGTGATTGTAAGCAAATATTTGAACGAATGCACATCATGCAGATGTTCCAATAAAGAATGTCTTATACATATATAGAAAGATTGTTGTTTTGCCAGAAAGTTCCAGCATTTCAGTCTGTAGAATATGTGACAGTTGGGATGACGGTATGTTGAATTTTTCTGTGGATTTTCATCCAGTGGTTGGTTAATAGCACCCTCAAGTTGGGTACGTTGTAAACATGAATCACCTACACACGTAGGACTCTGCTTAACTTTGGATGGTTGATTTTCGTGCCTAGCCCATGCAATTCTGCCGAGAGTTTTAATGTGATCTTTTGTGTTTACCTGGTATAATAATATAAATCATACATAAAGTAGAAATAAAAAACACTACAAATTCTAAAGAGATTTGAGATGATTTTCCACGAATGTGGACAGGTAGACATCTTACCAGGATGGGACACCATCGGAGATGAGGCAATGTGGAGACTGGCTTTGGGCTTATTTGAAATGATGTTGGGGGCCAAAAAAAATAATTTAAAACCTAACATACGGTCCCAAAATCCTAGTATAGCCTTTATTTCGTAATATTATGTTTTCTTAGTTTTGGTGATAATATTTGATAAATAATACAAACACGGGGTTATAGTTCCGGCCAGTTGTAAACTGAACAACTTAAAATTTCTCTGTGTAATATCCCAAATCACGATTTTTGTGCACGATACCTGCCAAGCTTCAGTGGACAAAATTCAGTTGGCCAACCAGATAAGGAGTTGCTATCGTTACGGGCCTAGTTTATACTTTGCTTTCGTAACTCCTGGAAGACGAGACCAAAGATCGTAGAGAGCCACGTCGCAGGCTACGGCAGGGTTACAAAAAGCAGCAAGTCTGGGAATAATTGCGAGTAAACGTTGAACTTTGTCACGTGTAGTTCAGTGGCTTCTATTTTAAGTTCACATACATTTTTGGCGTTCCAGCATGCTTGTCCGATGGTCCAACCAAGGTCCAAGCAGCATAGCGCTAGTCCACTTTGCATTTGACACTCTCCATGGAGCTATAAATTATAAAACGTATGCACTCACTCAGCACGACTGCAAGCGCCATACTTAACAGAAAATCGTTCCACCAAAAGCAGTGTTGTGTTCAAAACCTACAAAGATGCCATCCTACAAGCTGTATTACTTCGACGGTCGGGGACGAGGGGAGGCGACCAGAATGCTGTTTGCGGTCGGTGGCTGCGATTTCGAGGATGTCCGAGTTAGCCCTGAGGAATGGTCGGACATGAAACCGAGTAAGTAGCTAGCTGTCATGCATTGCGCGTTGCTGTTCTATGCTTGAATTATTCAGGGTGCTTGGGGCTAGCACTCAGCAGCACTCTGTTCTAGTCCAGCCTTGTTCACCATTTGACCTCCCGTTGTTCCAATCAATAACTTTTATGCCCAAAATCCAAGGGTAGTTAACACTTTGAGTGATGTACAAAGTCTTTATGATATGCACTGATGTTATGTGAACGGTTTCTGACCGGCGGGCGTGAACGTGTACATGTATGTAATACATGTACTTGAACCTTGTACATGTATTGTACATGTACATGTACATACGTGCATGAGGCAGACGGCGGAGATGAAGGCGACCCAGCGAGAGCCCCCAGCACTAAGCTACGGAAGCGTATAAGGGCCATTTGCCATTTTTTTCGAGTTACTTTTTTTCAAGATAGTAAGCGCCACGGCGAGTTAAATCGTTGAATGTGTATCTCGTTGCACGAGTTACACGATCTTACTGCGGCGTGAAATTGAAATCCCACCGCAGTAAATATTTCAGCAGTTTCATAAATCCTATCTATATCGTGTCATTGTTCTCAGATGTATAATCAGGGTGGAATTCAGTGAAATTGGGTTTCAGATTGCTTTAAAACCAAACTTGATTCAACAAAGATTGATTTCCAACACAAAAGAAAACCAACCAAAGAAATCTCATTGTTGGGTATGAATTTCCATATTCGGAAATGGTGTGGCCTACTTGGATAGACTGCCTGTTGAAAGGATTACGGTGCCTTTTCATTTATACTTAAAATAGTCATACATGTATTTGCATAAGCGTCGCGAGGGGGACCCTGAAAAGAACGAAGAAAAAGAAACCAGCCAAAGAAATGACAATAGAATGAAATTATTCGCTTGAGAAAAAAAAGAAAGAAAATCGACCCCCTCCGGCGGTTAAATGTTATTGTTTTAACTATAGACGGTTTGCCTCCCTCCGCTGAAAAAAATTCTGGCGACGCTCATATCATGCATATTTTTAGCCAATGTGTGTTGCCATTTTAGACAAATCCTTGATTGCTATGATTTAGGAGATTTCAAGAGGCAAAAAGAAAAATGAAGTGAAGGTGAAAGGGAGTCTAGCACACACTTTTCATCTACTAAATTGAAATTCCCAAGTTCTTGGACCTCACATTCATGCGTTCACTCGTCACAAACCACCCATTATGGGCGGGCACTGTGAAGGGCAAATCTGGCACATATTTTTTGATGAGAGCTTAGTGGACATAGCTTATTTAAATTTAACATTTGAACACGGGTCGACACTTCCGGCCTGGTGCATATGACACCCGTGAACTTACACTTAAGTTGAGGATTACGGCACTAAGTAACCTATTGCCTGGAGCATCCAAAGCTGTGAGATATTTCATGCGTTGCGTTTGTAAAAGTACTGTTTTTGATCTCCATTATACTATAAATTAATGAATTTCGACTGATGTCACTTCAAGGTCGCTTGCTTCTGTTTGGCACTTGGAAAATGTAGGAAGGAATAAAACCACTGTACCCCTCATCTCAATGTGGAAATTCACATTAAAAAATAAGATTTCTTTTGCTTTCTTGTATATTGGAAAACAAGCTTCGTTGACATGTAACCAAATCTCACAGCGTTTCAGGCTTATTGAAAAACAATGCGGGCTGAATCTAGGACTTATAAAACTATTGAAACATTCCCTGCGACGGGATATCAATTTGACGCTCCTGTAAGATCGTATAACTCGCCACGGCGAGATAGACATTCAACGATTTCACTCGCCGCGGCGAGATGGCGAGACGCCAGGCCCTGTGCTTAGCGGGGGGGGGGCGATGCCACCGTCTGGACGTCGGCAAGGCTGCGACTGCCTAGGTTTTACGGCTAGTTGAGATTTAAACATTTGGGTGGGCCTTTGAAAGTTTGGAATCAAAATGGTGCTATGTTTTCAAAATCCTAAATGTGTATGTGAAAATAATCACAGGGCAGCACCATGGATGAGTAGAGATTAATATCATTTTTATTCCCTTTACTGCAGAAACTCCTCTTGGTCAGATTCCTGTTCTCGAAGTTGACGGGAAGCAGTTGCCTCAAAGTGGAGCGATCGAACGTTATCTCGCCGGGGAATTCGGTAAATACCTCTTCAGGTGATCGTTGTTGACTCGTTTCATTGTTTGAATGAACTCTATCCGATGAGTGCTGGACAAACTTTCGTCGTGCATGCGTCTTTGAAAAGAAGTTGACATTCCCAGTCCCCTCTAAGGCCGGTGGGAACGAGAAAAGTTGGCAAATAACGTGCGTACTAAAAAAGTACACATCGATGGTTCTCAGGTGACATTCGAACCTATAGGCCGCAAAGGTGGAAAAAGAGAGAGACGTACCACCGTGGAAACTCGATACTCCAGGGTTATTTTTGTGTAGGAGGAGGTAACGAAAGGAATATCAAAATATCACTGGAACTCCAAGCAGTATGATTTCGGCTTACTCCTTGTTTTTCGTAGGTCTGCTCGGCTCCAATAGTTGGGAAGCTGCGCAGATAGACGCAGTGTATCACACGGTGATCGAATTAATGGGAACACTCCTTCAAATTGAGTTTTACGAAAAAGACGAAGAGAAAAAGGTAATAAAAAACACTTACGAATTTTCACTTGATTGTTCCTTCTGCGTTTATTTGGAATTTGGAAAGAAAAGAGAACAATCATCTTCCAGACTGCCACGGTTAGTTTAAACTCATTATAAATATCATAGTTTGACAGAAGAGTCATCGTAAACTTTTAGTCAAGATTTTTTTTTCATTACTATTCCATCAAAAAAATCACACTCGCAACAAACAAAATTCCTATTTTCCAAACTTCCCATGCGATATTGGAAAGCTCTGCAGGCTTGTAAAATCGATTAGTGTATGACGTGCTTGTTTTCAGAAAGCTGGACTGGCAAAGTATTACAACGGAGAGGCGCCGAGGAGAATGGCAGGCCTTACCAAATTGTTTGAGATGTACGGAGGAGGGGATGCAGGCTTCTTTGTTGGAGACAAGGTCAGATACAAAAATAATAAACAGTTAAGTTGTCAAAAAGGTGGTGAAGGACATTTATACTGACTGGATATTTTTGAAAGATTTGTTATTATTCCTTTTGTGCATGCAACAAAGACCATAGAGCTGGGATGCTAAGTTTGTGCGAGCGCTTCCAATCGTACAAGTGCAACTACATTTGAATTTCCTTTTGGAATTAGCCAGTTCGGTATTTCAACAGCGCACGCTCAAACTGAAGTGCGTCAGAGGTTATTCGAGAACAGCAGCACGCGTGCGCAATAGTCTGTTCTGTCAGGGCATCGATACGCCGACTCACGCGCGCGGTTTGTTCCCAAAAGACCTTAGCTATTTTCCAATAGTCAACTTCGGCTCCGTCTCAGGGTTCAACTGGTTTTTACTAGCTGACTTTGAATCTTTAAGCGCAGTAATCAGTGTAATAGTGCCACAGAACATCAAACAAGATGCAAGAAAGCCAAAAACAATAATTTAAACGCTTCAGGCCCAGGAGATTAGTTTTGGGAACGAAGCCTGAGGAGGAGACGAAGTTGAGTATTGGAAAACGGCCCTTGCCTTGATGAAATGCCGGACTGACTCATCCGCCTTGAGCAGAAGCACCCCCTCGTACGTTGAAAAGAGCCATGCTAGTCAGGAGTGTTCATTATGCTGGTAGGGACGCCACTGTAACGCGTGCATTTCAGAAATAGTCGTTTGTGAACTAGCTTCAACCAAAGGAGCTTCCGTCACTAGGAAAATTGCACCCTCTCTTGGTCCAGCTCGAAGCTCATTAATCGTCAAACCGGGTTGCTCCGTGCCACATAAGGAAGTAAATTTGGAAAGCAACAAGCTACCAGTAGGCAGTGGCAGACCCAGCTTACCAACCAGCAAACAAACTGAAACTATAAACTGAGCAACCTAATCAGTCATCATTTCTTCTTTCATCTTACACAGATTTCCCTGGCCGACATCAACTTCTTCGCGATGACTGAATACTTCGACGCAGAAGAACTGAAGAAGTATCCGAAAATGGAGGCGCTGCGCAGTCGCGTGGCAGCCAATTCGCGATTGGCTGCCTTTATGAAGAACCGCTCCACACCGCAATTCTGAAACGCTGTGTCCAAAACAGTCGAGATTTTTGTTTCCAAACTACGTTATCAGCTGACATTCTTTATGTAACCGACTCTATGTGACGCTGAAGAAATTGTCACATTAAATAATCGTACACAGTCTGACCCATGTAATTGCTAGCTATTTTCTAAACATTTCAATGGTATTTCATGCTGAAACTAACCGAAATGGTCTAACCTCAGAGCTATAGTCGTTGCGAACGGCGGTTTTTGAAGTGGGTAGTTTCCCTGCCTCATCACTAAAATGTTGTTTTTCACTCAGATGGGTGATGTTATTTGCAATTTAACTAGAAAAGAGCCGTTGGAGCGAAATCCACGCCGACATTTCTCTCCGGTATCGTCACAGTGTCACGCATTGAACCTTCAGGAGACTTTTTTTTTAGTTATGACTTTCAGTCATTTTGACACCAATCAGATATACCATTCTCGCACAGCGCTCATTTTCCCGGGGCAGGTCTGCCAAAGATATAGGCAACTTTATTTTCACTGACGTGCTCGATGCAGGCAAGCTGACATGCGTATAGCCTTAAAGTTAATGTCCGTAGCAATGAACTCATAATGGCAAATTGAGCTGAAACTTCATGTTTGTCCTGAAATTGAGGCGAGGGTTTTTTTTTATTAATGCTTGGATCCGCCGACCTTCTGGATTCAGAACTGAAAAAAAAATGAAGATTTTTGGGAGAATTCTCGGATCCACCGACCAACAATTTACCGATATAACTGTGATTTATGTATTGTTTTGTTCCGATATATTTCAATTTTGTGGAGTGTGGGACAGCTGAGTTCTTGTGGAGCGGGATCCGCCCCAGATACTGAGATAGTTCGAAATAACCCGGCTCTATTGGGAGTGACGTCGAATTAATAAATCAGAAACCTTCAGGGACAGTGTCCAATAATGCTGCTTTGTACGTTTTATGTTTTAGATTTCACAAAAATGGAAATTAACCTCGAAATACGTATTAACAATGTTTTGTGTATGACTTAACACTCGTCTACATCAAATTACACGATTTATTAAAAGCAGGGTAAATTGGAGGCTATAATGGGAATGCATTTTATCCGCAGCTGACTGATCCGATGTTTAAAAGGGGATCTTAAACCCCTAAGCTGAAACTATGTATAGAAATCTTGCTGTTGTGCCTTTGAAGTTTCTCTGAATACAAAATTGTGACTCTGGCTGTTTTAAGGGCATAGTCGCGTATCTGGCCGCAAATCCTTTTCCAGATTGTGTAGTGAGGGACACATAGCAGCTTTTCGCACAGATCCGTCTGGAAAGAAGATCAACAGATGCCATGAGTTGGCACATTTTAATAAAAAGCCGCTGGACTGAGCCCTTGACCTCTTCTAAACAGGGAACATCAATAGGTAAACGCTCGATTACAAGTGTCCGTTATTTTGCAAATTTGTTGACCGAAATGAGCTGGTTATAGCAGAACGAGGAAAAGCTTATCTCTGCAGTCGAGTCATCGGTACTGAGCGAATAAGTCAGCTGCGGCTTCGCTCCACACGTCTACGATTCCAACATGCCTTCCTACAAAGTCGTGTACTTCGATGGCCGCGGGAGGGCAGAGCCGGCCCGCATGATGCTTCGTTACGCGGGCCAGAAGTTCGAAGACGTCCGCTACAGCCCTGAAGAGTGGGCCAAGCACAAGCCGAGTAAGTTAGGCACTTTTTTACCAGTTGAGAAGGTAGTTTATGGCGCGGAGACCCCACCCAAATGAACGCTCTTCTCTATGTCATCACAGTAATCAGTCAACTATAGACCTACGAGCATGGGCGTATCCTAGGGGATGGGGATATATCTCCCAACACACTTTTTGACCAGGGGACGGGCTACTGACTTTAACCCCACCCCTATGCACACACTAGACTTGAAGTCAAGTCGTAAGTCGGTCGTGTTTGTCGTCCAGAACACTGACGCAACTAGGATTTTACTGATGGGGAGGGGCTGCAAAGGGGCACCAGCATCTTATGGAGGGGGCACCAGCTTTCAGTGGTGTGTGTTTAGGGGGCAAACTCTTGTGCGCCTTGTTCAATGTCCAATCATCCTGCTTTGTTTATCAGTGGGGTACGACGGGGGGGGGGCACTGGGAATTTGTTTGCATTAGCAAGAAAACAACACCACGAAATAAAAGCAAGGATGCCAGGACCATGAGTGTGGCTTTTGATATTTTTTCTCCCCAAACATCATGTTAAATGAGCCCCAAGCTGCATTCGCTTTTGAATTCCCCCGACACTAAAAAAAGCTGGATACACCGCTTCACGTACATTGTTTACATGATTACAATATTAGTGCACTTAAAGGCATTTTTTTAATTTTTAAAATTTTTTGCCTTTCGTTTTTGTATCAGAGAGGGAAGGGGATCCACCCCCCTGTATCCGCGCCTGACATCAGTGCGTGAATCCACGTTGTGAAAACCCACATAATAACTCTGTCACACTATGTCAATACAGCCCCCATGAAGCTCAGGCTAGACTTCATACAAGTCCGTCTTGATTGGAGCTAAACAAATGTCAACATCTTCAAAAAGGACAGCAAGGCCTAATAGAAGAAAATGACCATAACATTTTTTTAGTAAAGTAACCAAAACAGGTATTATTTCATTTGGCTGAAATTTGCTGAATCCGTTGTGCAAATTAAGTAATTTCACCACAGGTAAGAATATGCAGGAATCTCAGTCTTAATTGAGATAAGATAAAACAAATCCAATGCAACACTAATAAAGTCTAGCTCACAAATTTTAGTCCAGTGTTTGTGTTCGGTCCTTGAACTTGCCATAACGTCACGTGCTCCTCGGCAGTGTCCACGGTAACGTAGGATTTGCGTCGTACATTGATTGTTGTTGTTGGAAAGGAATTCTTTATCCGTCACATACGGCATTCAATAATGATTCACCCATTTCATTCTGCATTGCAATCTAATTTTTCAAATCGCTAATTTGTGTTTTCTCATTGTGCGTCGTCATATTATTATTTGAAACAACGTAAAAACTACATTCCCTTGAGCTTGTGGGAATTTCTTCAAATTTATTGATACAAGTCTTTCTTATTCTCTATGTGCAAACTCACTATTGTTTTCAGTTTGCACCACAGAGTTATATACAAAACTTAGATATAGCTCTATGGTTTGCACAGGTCTATAGAGTTTCACAAACAAAGCTTTTGTCAAAACCGAAAAGCACAAATCATGTTATATAGTCTTTCACTTCTCTGGTGAATTTTGAAATAAACGAGCCCCCCCCCCCTGAAAAATCGTTGCCCCAGTCCCCCAACTTGCATATCGGAAACGGTACACATGTTTAACATGATGTGATCACCATTACGTACGTGTATATGTCCAACATCCAGTCAGCCCCCCTCCGGCCCCCACTTAAGCTTGAAGTTCTCCCCCCCCCCCCCGAATCCTGGCTACGCGGCTACATTTAAGGTGTGAAAAGGAAGACGAATTAAAAGTAAATTTTCAAATTAACAGGAACAAGGATGTCTGATAACATTTTGCTGCTACGTAGTCTAACTGAAAATGTAAAATATGGAGGTTTAACTTTTGAAGGCATTGGCTTGCCATGTAGAGAGTACGGTGGCCTGTGTGTTACAATTAATCGAGGATGGTGCAAGATGTAGAGGAAAGGCTAATATCACCACGTTACAATAGAACATGTTGTATTGCTTCTTCGAAGTTGCACAGATTAACCATCAAGAGTAGAACCGCTTTCCAAGTAATGCAACTCACTTAAGGAATGGCTAGTTTGACCACAAGACCCTTGGGAAGGAAAGCAGGGCTGGACCGGAAGGGCCGTTGAGGCAGTCCACCAGCCTTATAAGGAAAAGTCAGTATTCATTATTTGACTAGCCCTACCCTAAGTTGAAATTACCTTGTTTAAATGACTTTACATGTCTCCTTTGAACGACTTACAGTGTTATATAGTTTACACAAGATAAGTTGTTTAAACAACTTAAAATTGAATGGCACTCGTGGCTTTTGTGCTTGCAGCTTCTTGGGCTGCTTTGGGTCAGAACTGTAGCGCCAACTTTAGTCATTGGAAAAAAGAATGGATGTCCATTATGCGTGCAGTACAGCATGCAGTATATTGTGTGCTAATTGTACATGTGCACTGCCACGCCTAATCCACCATTTCGGTTCCAGTAAGTGAGACACTCTTGTCGCACCAGTCTGGGCCTGTTTGTTTCAGATCGCGATCAGTGATTTGACGTTGATTCACTGACACCAGAACCACCTAATGGATAGCGCGAACCAGCTTAGGGATCCTTGATCGCGATCCTGATCGCGATCCTGATCGGTGTGAAACAAACAGGCCATAGGCCTACTACAAACAGCTCTGCTTCGGGTAACGCCGAAGCGCCACCTTCCGTTTTACCAATCTCGTGAGATTTTCTCGGGTTCATTTTTTTTCACAATGCACGCAGAATGTCCGGGCCTTTTCGGGTAAGGTATTCTGGCGAGAAGGATTGGATGTTTAGGGAGGGCTAGCTCAAAATATGTGACACTGGGTATATAAAAAAGGCCATGTTGGCTTACACATTCTTGATGTTTGAGACGTAGAGTTGAAACAACTATTTCTCAGAACGTTAGAACTGAAAAAGATTAACTACCACAGCGTCCCAACAACACCCCAAGGAGGGGAGTTACGGGCGTCAACAAATATACCCCCGCTCATGGTGATTTAGGGGAGGTGCTACGTCTTAAAGGTGGGAAGACTTCCTAAAAGCATAAGTCATGTAGAGGACTTATTTTGCGTGTACGGTTAAGAACAAAGCCAAGTGACAATGACCACCAATGGCGACAACTATGTATAGTAACTCTTTCCTTGCCCAAACATGAATTCCCGCACCCCTCCACTCCCCAGCACAAAATCCTGGATCCGCCCCTGCCCTCCGTACCACATACATTGTATGCCTCTTACTGACTGGTCCCACATTTCAAAAATGAAACTCGTTTCTTTTTAATCAAAGGTCGACGGTTCCATCACCATAAAGCGTTGGTGGTCACACTGTCGCCGACAGAATGATATGTCAAATTATGCTTTAGGTTAAAACTCCATTTTGTCTATATAAATTTTGCAGCAGTTGCCCAAACGGCGATGAAAGAACATTTAAACTGACTGGAGTTTCTTGACCGATTTGTTACATTTCCTTTTTGCATACAACAAAGAGCAGGGAAGCCAAGTTTTTTTTTGGGGGGGGTGCTTTCAACCGTACATTTGAATTTCCTGTGGGTCTGACCAGACAGGTCCGCCAAAATGTACTGTACAGGCAACTTTGTTTCCACGGACTCGCGGACATGCACGATACACTCAGGCTGACACGCTTGTAGCCTTAAATTTCAAATGACGGCGTAACAACAAATTAAACGATAATATTGAAAATTCACGTTGGTGCTGAAACTGAGTGTTTCACATGCATCATAAGTTTTATAAAAATCAAGCATGGGACAGCTGAGTTGTGGAGGCGGGCCAGCCCCGGCCATATCATTCAAACTAACTCGGCTCTTTAGGATGACATCTCAAATTAACGAATCAGAAACTTTCACGGAAAAAGACCAATAATGCTGCTTTGTAGGTTTTACATTTTAGATTTCTCAAAAAATAAACAGATATAAAATATGAAATCGCTATCAATAATGTGTTGTGAATTAACAACCGCCTACATCGTAATCTACATGTATGTACAGTACATGTGCACGATTGATTTCCGAATTCCTAACCAGGAAAAACGGAGGCCATGCATTTTGTCAGCAGCTGACCGATCCAATGTTTAAAAGGGGGTAGTCTTACGTGTACCGCCCTGAGCTGTATAGGAAATCTGTGGTGCCTTTGGAGATTCATTTGACGATAAATACATTTTGACAAGGGCTGTTTTTAAAGTATGGTTGCACATCTGACCGCTAATGCCTTTCTGGAGTGCGTAGTACTAGAGTGAGGGGAGCATAGCAGCTTTGCGGACATCCGTCTGGAATGAAGACTAATACTAGATGAGTTGGCACATATTGAAAAGAGGCCACTGGCACTAGGCTGTGCCCTTGACCCTTTGCGTACACGCTCGATTGCTATGGAAGTGTGGAGAGTGTTTGCATGTATAAAGCTGGTGATGAGAGAAAGCTGACGTGCAGTCGATGCTACGGCACTAAGTAAACGAGTCGGGTACGGCCTTGCATGCTCCACACGTCTACGATTCCAACATGCCTTCCTACAAAGTCGTGTACTTCGATGCCCGCGGGAGGGCAGAGCCGGCCCGCATGATGCTTCATTTCGCGGGCCAGAAGTTCGAAGACGTCCGCTACAATGCCGAAGAGTGGGCTAAGCACAAGCCGAGTAAGTATAAGGATAGTGTTTCGCCAGTTGAGCACGTGGATAATAGCAGCAGCACGGAAACCCGGGGCCGCCCAAATGCGAGCCTGCCTCTTTATGTCATAATGATCGAACGAGTCATACTACTTATGGGCGTAAATCCCTGGGGATGAGGGATATATATCCCTCCACCCACACTTTTGACCAGGGGGTTGAATCATTAATCCCCCTCGTAGTAAGAAAAAATTTAAGCTGCATTGTAAAGAATTGTTTGGACAAACCAACAAACAAAATGTATTTATCAACACTCAAAAAAGCACAGTAAAAAGCCATAAATATGCCTTTCTGACGTAAACTTCGGCATAAAAGTGCACATCTGTATCATGAACATCGCCCCCTCTAGGAGGCCATATGGGATCAGCACCCACTCCCGAGCCCCCCCCCCTTCAAATTTTCACGTCTGGTCATCTACCCCTTCGCATAGTTCCCCTTTTCAATTTTCCGGCCCAAATTTTCGCCACTGCATTATTGGAAGTTTAAACATTCCAGCTCGGAGTAAATGATGACGACAACCCGAACCTTTCAATCTCGACACCGAGGCTACGGGGACAGTTAAAAAAACAAACAAAATAGTCGTGGAATTTCTGCCAGAAAAATTGGGTTAAATAAAATGTACTGTGCGTGTATTGCTGTGAAACCAGCCTCGCATATTATCGAGTATCAGTCGGGTTAGTTATAATTGTCTGGACCATTTGAAGCGTGCATTGGAACGGCACTCACGCCCAGCTTGTAACAACAGAATTGGTGCCGGTGTTCCGACCTCCGACCGTCAACCATGAAGGAAACCTCACCATATAGCTATACAGTTGAAGCGAGATATGGACCGAGAGACCCTCTACCTTTTTGTGTTGGGTATTGTTTGACCGGAATCGCAGGAATTCTTTTCAGACGGGGGGGGGTGTTAGGTAGTACAGTCCAGATCTAGTGTCGATAGGGTTTTGACATCTGGTTGGGGTTGGCCTACGCCTCCGTCCCGTATAACGCTTACCTACTCTCCACACTCAGGGACAGATCCGGGAATTTTCCCGGGGTGGGGGGCGGAGATTTATGTTTAATGTCTCATTTTTTTCGGATAAGCGGAAACAATAAAGAAACATTAAATTACATAATTTGTTAACAATGGTATTGGCACACGTTAGTTATTTTTTATAACTTTCCCCATGTTTTACTAACCTTTCTTATGTCTCGGAAGAGGGGTGGTTCAACATCCGCGTCTGATATGATATCAGTGCGTGAATCACGTTATGAAAATCTGCACACTATGTCAATACAGCCTTTGGACCTCAGGCTAGACTTCATACGAGTCCGTCTTGGAACTAAACAAAAGTCAACATCTTCAAAAACGACAGCCAGGCCTAATAGAAGACATGATGTCAGGAATTTAGTAAAGTAACCAAAACAGCTAGGTATTATTTAAGTTGGCTACAATTTCCTGAATCTGTCGTGCAAATTGAGTGATTTCACTGCAGTAAGAATATACAGGAATCTCAGTCATGACAAACGAGATAAGAAAAAAAAACTAATTCAACACTAATAAAGTCTAGCTCATAATGTTTACGTTTGGAACTTGAACTTGCCATAACGTCACGCAGTCCTCGATAGTTCCACGGCAACGGAGGATTTGCATCGTACATTGATTTTATGTTGTTGAAAAGCGCATGCGCGTATGCGCCATTCAATCATTTGATAATTCTTAACCTATTTCATTCTGCGTTGCAATCTTTGAAATCACTATCGGCTAATTTATTTTTTGCAACAACGCAAACCGCGTTCCCTGGAGCTGTCGGGAATTTCTTCAAGTCTTTCTACAAGTCTTTCTTATTTTTTATGCAAACGCTTCTTATTCTCTATAGGGGGGCCTATGTGCAAACTCATTTCTTCCCAGAAATACACAGATTTTATGGAAAGAGTTTCACAAACACGGCTTTTGTCAAAAGCGAAAAACACAAGTCAGCCTTTATAACCTTTCCCTTCTCTTGTCAATTTAAAAATGAACCTTCCAGATTCACAGAAAGGCAAAATATTTGATTGTTTTCTTATTTTGGAATGACAAAAGTTTCGAATTTTTGTAAATTAAAATACACGCTGCGGCTGAGTTGGAAGTTTAAAGAAAACCCCAAGCCCTCCATGATTTTATTCAGAATTCGTTGAAAATGTAGCCCTGTTTTCACTGAATTTGTCCCCCTTTAAAGAAAATACAGAAAAATTTGAACCTTAATATTTTATTGCTTCCTGGCACATCTTTGGTCAAGAACGTCGCCTTATAAGGCCCAATAAACTGCTTGAGCAATCAAGGGCAAGAAGGGTTTGCTTGAAGATTTAAAAGAAGGCACCACTCCTGTTGTATTAATGAATGTGCCTTAAAGTTTTGTTTATTCCTGCCACAGCGACTCCATTTCAGCAGCTACCGTACTTGGAGGTCGACGGGAAGATTATCCCTCAGAGTAGTGCCATGCAAGGCTTCTTGGCCAGGGAGCTCGGTGCGTTTGATTGCTTTTCAGGTGTATTACGGTACAATAATGATCTTGTAGTTATAAAGTCTCTAGCAGCTATGAACTCGTGTTTGGGACAACTTCAACAGTGTGTTTTTTATGCGGTAAAAATCCAAATGGGCAGTCCGTAGTGGTGTAAGACCAAACAGGTTCACATAATTTACGTTCTTGGGAAAACATAGTTTTGTCAAAAGAAGTAATTGTAGGAAGTGTCAAGCGGCTTGGGCACAGTGGTGATATAACTTAAGCACTGGTGTTTTTGATACAGTCGATGTGAGCCGCTAATTCTCTCCCAAAAACTGAATTGATTGTGATAAGTTATTGAGGCACGTATTGTTAACATGTCTCTTCCTTTTTGTAGGTTTGAACGGGGCCAACAACGAGGAGACGACCAAAATTGACTTGGTTGGTGCCGTGGTCGCTGACATCGTTGATCCGCTGACTAAGATCCTCTTCTATGAGAAAGACGAAGCCAAGAAGGTGTGCAAGTATTTCCAGTGTTTCTGTTCTAACAGATGATTTTCATAAAACTGTGCATCAATTTGTGAAGGAGATATCCATGACGGGATAAACCTGCTGGGCTATGATATATTTGAAGAAGTCTTATTCAACTCGTGACTCCATACTCCACCATGATATGAAGGTACCAGCGAGCTTGGTCATTAATTGGAGAGACGAAATGTGAAAACATGACAACTGTTCAGGAGGCAGTGTACGTTTGGGACCTAACGGGATTTAAGCAAGGCTAAATGAAAATGGACGGTGCAACTTTGCCACTACACTCTAAAAACTTCCGGGTCAGATTGACCTATTGGGTCCCATTCAGCGTGACCCTTTTCCGGGTTAGATTGTGACTCGGAAAGGGTCAAATATGACCCGAAAGAGGGTCATGCTTTGACCCAGAAAAGGGTCACGCTGAATGGGACCCAATTCTGGGTCGATCTAACCCGGGAGTTTTTAGAGTGTACGGGTCCTTGCCGTCATTATGGATGATGCTGAGCATTCACGACAAGAAGCAGCTTGGTTCAGTCTGGACCACCATAGGCTACTTCAAAGTGACGGAATGATTTTGCAATGGGAAGCGCCAACCGCGCAGCAGCTATGGGAACAGAAAGTCGTTAAACGTATTTTCATGTAGAAAACACAGAAAGATCTTTTTAGTAAATTTCTCAAAACCATCTCGAAGGGAACATGAATACGATCGATACATAACATGCGTGTAGGAGAGTTATCTTTGTGACACACCTATTATCTAGTTCTCCTGATTTGTCTTCCTCGGTGTATAGAAGGAACTATCGGCCACTTACTACGGCGAGACAGCTCCTCGATTTCTGAAGGGGTTGGAGGAGATCTTGAAAACAAACAACGGCGGTGACGGCTTCTTCGTCGGCTCTAAGGTAACTTCGCTAATACCCAACGAAATATCGAGGCACCGTCAGCATAGCTGATTTTCCCCACAACCCTATTTGGAAGGAAATGCATGAAGCACAAAACACTGCGGGCGACAGGTTGCAATGATCGATGCTAGCAAATACTGTGTAATCAAAATATCTAGCGGTTGGTAAAAAACGAGCAACCCAGAGCAGAACTTCGAGCAACGAACATAGTTCTTAAGTGCTTGCCCCAAAAAATCCTCTCCAATGAAAATTACCTGTAAATCCCATCAAGCCTCCAGGAGGGAAAAAAACATCATCCTGAAGCAGTACCCACGCAATGACCGTGATGGAAAACGATTTCATCAATACACAGCCTTCTTCTCTGGGATCGTCATGTTTTCTCATGTCCCGTTGCATGCCACGGAGAGGGTTTGTGCAAGTTCCTTGGAAATATAGAAAATACTATGCAAAGGAGCCAACAAAGCCCCTGGCCGCCATTCAAGCCGCTTAAATCTTTTTTATTATCGCAGTTTTGATTAATGGTTTTTCAGATCTCCCGGGCTGACATCATCTTCTACGTGGGCATGGAAGCTTTCCGTAACGACGACGTCTTGAAACAGTACCCGAAGCTTTACAGCCTGAAGGAACGTATTGCCCAAGACCCCAAGATCGCTGCTTACTTGAAAGATCGCCCCCAAACACAATTCTAAGCAGATAGATCCACTTTTCTTGACTGACAGAATAAAAACAGAATCAAACACAGAGTAGAGTCAATTTGATAGAGAGGGCTTTGTTGCCCTCATATTTGGAACCGAAACATTCATGTTTAAAACGTGGTTTGATACGGCTCCACATTTTGCACATATTTGGCACTTTTCCCTGATTGATCAAAAAACACGTTAAAACACAAAACCAACCACTTGTTGGCTGATTGATTGATACAAGCATACAATATTGATACAATGATTGGCTTTGATTAATCGAAGACGGTGCAAGATGTGGAGGAAAGGGTAATGAAATATGGTTTTGTTGGACTTTGAATGACATGCACGGCCCTTTTTAAATTTTCACAGAAGAGTATGTATATTTCTGTTTTGATAGAGTTACGTCTATTTCTCTTTTCTAGCGCTTAAGACCTTCCCCAAAAATGTTTTAGGTAGTAATGGGCACCTCATTTAAGACTCGACCGGTTTTCCAATATGTAAATGCCTGTCATGACTCTAACAATGACGAGTGGTGTACAAATATGGATGCATTCATACGCCTCTTTCCGAAAAGCCCATCAGGGTTTCGCAGCACAAAACATTCTAAGAAATCCTTTCCAAAGTTACCCCTTACAATAAAAGCTTATCGGGTTGAGAAGATCCTGTTTTGCCTGAGTGTTTGTAACAAGTACCCACTTGTGAAAGAGACATGTTTTCAGTGTTTCTAAGAGCTTGTAGACACGCTTGCTCTGACGGGGATTTGGACTAATGATGTGCATCGGATTGGGTTAATTAAGCCAAACCGATCCGAAACATTACGGACATAAACTGAATCCGAACTGACCGACAAGAAATCGAGGAAAATCCGAACCGAACCTACAAAAATGTAACCGAACCCGAAAAAAATCGGAACGTTTGGTTTGGGCCAATAATTCTTTATTCCATACAAATTGTATCCGTTTTGTGCCTGAACATATGTACCAGTATTGTATGAATATAGATGAATATACTTGTCAGACGTAGTCGTATTGTCCCACATCCTAATGAGGTTAGTTCGTTAGTTTGTTAGTTTGTATGTCTGCAAACCATGCACATTGTTCGGTATTCCAAGTGCACAACTGCGCATTTCACGATTTTTCATCATCGTACGTGTGCAAGAGCATCGCTGCTACCAGAAAATTTAAAGAGATCGCCGTGTTCTGAAATAACCTTTTCAAAAAAGTTTGGGACAGCAAAGTATTTTCAGATGTTTTGTGTATTCAGACTTTTGTTTGAACAAGATTTGTTTTCGTCTTTTCTATTAGACGAAACAAAGTATATACAGAGTATGCGAAATCGGTTTCTGCATTCCCGTATGTAACTTTGTTTCACCCGCCTCGTTTTTTTCCGAAAGAAAAACCGTCGAGTCTTGTTGCGTAGTTGACCGAGCTGGCTTGAATTTTGTGTGCCACTGAGTGCGGCCGCGGTCCGGTCTACTCAGAAAGCGTTTGCATGGCGCTTGTTTATTTGGATGTGCCGCGTCACTGTCGCTACTAACATATGAGTTTAGCTATGTACTCTGAAGTTCAAACGAGTAAATTCATCACGTGAATTTCCCTTTTCAGTTTTTCGGTTATTTTCGGTTTTTCACAATACATGTGTAGCTTAACCGACCCGACAACCACAAAAGCAAAATCGAAACCGACCCGATCTGAAGTCGGTTTAGGGTCGGTTCGGTTTTGCACAACATTAGTTCGGACCCCTGCTATATATATATGCATGTTCAGTGTACTACAAAGGTCTTACTTCACTCCACTACAGAATTAGTCGGCGTAAATCAAGGCTTGGGGGCGCCACAAGCATGAGCTTACGTTTTCTTGGAATGTTGTCAATATTTTGTCAGTATGACTAGATAAGAGATAGGTTTTTATCATCACGACCAGAAGGTACGTTGACTACTTTCAGTGTGATAATCTTGTGAGTCCAGTGCTCAAATCTTTCAGTACAATCGGAACTTCTTGTAGTCTACCACTGACATATATCCAGCA